AAAACCCTTAAAAAAAACCCAGGTTAAAACCCTTTAAAGGGTAACCAAATGGGTCCCTGACGCGGGTGGAGCCGCGGGCAATGCTAGTAATTATATAATAATTACATTACGGGATTTAAACGCGTGAATTCACCTTTAATTCCCGAAATTTGCGTTTAAGTCCCGTAGTGTAATTATTATATAATTATGGAACGCAAAAAGTTAAAGAGAATAATATATAATCTTAATTTAGTTTACTTTTATTTAAAACAATCAAAATACTAAGCATCACTATTACAACATAGATTTACAAATGATTGATATTAATTTGAAATACTGTAATTTTAAATAATAAAGTCTATATGTGCGTGAATATACTTCTTTTTTAATTAAATTCTAAAAGTTTTACTAGGCGCATCACTATTCAACCGCTTCATCTACAAGTAGGTATCAATAGGTGTGTATATGACATCTGCTTACGTTTAGCATAATGGATAATGAGCGATACGCGCGCTCTATAGCATAATATGTATACTCTAAGATGTTCACCGATTACTCGAAGACTCCTGAACCGATTTGGATTTTTTTTGTTTCAAAGGTATACTTCCCAGGTGGTCCCATATAAATTTTATCGAAATCGGTCGAGCGGTTTTTAAAAACTACACTAAAAATGGAAAAATAAAAACTTCGCCTATCTCGATGGGCGGTGTAACGTGCGGTTTGCTCCTGGCGATTCCCTGATAGCAGAGTGGGCCGATGGTCAGCATCGGCAGGCAACCTTCGGGGCGTCGAGCGGTCGTGGTTAAGTGCGTAAGCGACCATACGACGCCTCATTAAGACGGGGGATTTTATAGCTCTATATGTGTATAAATAATATTTAGTCAATTTTTACCCGACTGCAGCGAAGTCCAAAGGAGGGTTATGTGTATGACCTGTATGTATGAGTGTATGTATGTCCGACCCTATGTTCCCTCATAATTACTAAACGGCTTAACCGATTTTGATGACTCACTCGTAAGTCCTTAGATTCGTCTTAATAACGCGAGTGTCATAGGGAATAGAGAGAGAGAATCGAGAGGGGTATCAAAATACAGGTTTTTAAGAGACGATTACAAAAATATATACAGGTATTATATTTAAAAATATTCTCATATAAATAATCAAATAATATAAATTGTCTGACACTAAACTAAAAAAATGTAAATAAAAAAAATAATTAAAATCCGACTGAGTTAAAAGCTAATTAAAATGATGACAATGAGAACAAGTTGACGCAGAAACATAGTATTATGCAGTTAGCTTTTGACACAGTCGGGTTTTTAATTTTTGTAAATATTTATTTTATTTCATTTGAGGATTAATCTAGCTACGGAAAGTAAAACTACATAATATTTAGAATACAGTTAATTTTATAAATCAGATAACAACATTAATGATATTTTGGCCACTCTCTCATTACAATTATTACACGCCATGCCACAGCCGCCCGCCGTGTGCTCGTAGCCTTACACTAAGCTAGCAGAGCATTCAGTGCACTCTGCTTATTCGAAATATCGAAGGCACAATAGTTTGTATGTTAATATAGTTACTTTAAAAAATTCGCCCTTTAAAGTTTGCTCCAAAGATATTATTTTTATTATTCAAGGTAACACAGCGTCTTCAGCCGAGTTACAAATTATAATATTTATTAAATATATCAACTTTGGACTCGGGTTCCTTAAAAAGAGAATATAATTTAGTTAGTCTACTAAATATATTTCCTTACTCTAATAATTGTCAATAGGGACGGTATTCCTTGTAAAACTTTAAAACAATCATAATATATTAAATTCTAAAAAATCTTACAAAGCAGTAATAGATCTACAATTACGTCCGATACGATCAATGTTAAATACAAAAATATGATAATAGAGTGCACTGACGCTTCACAACAGAGGTTCCAAATGAGGTCGCAGAACTCAGAAGTACCCGCCTCCGCTGACACCGCGCTAGCGCTAACATTACAGTCATATCGTCGTAGTGAGAAGTGCTCAAATGTACATTACTGACATAGTTTCATTTTGTGCAGACATTAGTGACGAGTAATTACAATCGGTATTGTTAGAATGAGTGAAAAATAGTTTTATAAAAGCTGTGATCAACCAAAACAGCCGAGTAGTACAAATAAATAGCCACTTTCAGTTTTTCCCACATTTTCTATTACTTTATTTTTTTATTAAATATCGTATGATTCTTAAGGAGTATCTATCCCAAGTTATTGACTTACCTACATCTATGCTATGATGCTACATTTGTATTAAAAAAAGTAAACGAGCAAGTTACAGTAGTCGCATATGATGTGTAACATCTGACATCTCACCTTATTATGTTTATTTTCTTTACTTAGACTATTTAACTTAAATTTGCATTTAGATTTGCTATTGTAATCTAATTAGACTGACTAAAGTAAAAAAATTGTATAATTACGTAAGTTGCAAATGAAAGTTTTTATTTGAGATATATTTCAATAATTTGATATATGAAAATCGGAAAATTGTATAAGAGAAATGTGAAAACCTGTATTATATAAAGTTTATATACAAGAAAATTTTAGTCATTGTAGTTATATAAAATATTGTTGTTTTACATAAGATAGAAATACATAAGGGAATAACTGTGATAAAAATAATAAGGTTTAGGGGTACAAATGTATCAGTCGGACTCCAGCTCTCAGCAGAACAACAACAAGGTCGAAAAATCACGAATAAATGGAAGTAATCTTGAAGAATTGTTTTCTTTCAAACCAACATCATACAGTCCAACATAGAAATTATCCTTGTAATTAATTAGTTTTTTTTTTATAAAAATATCAACTGAGCAGCGACGGAAATTAAACTCATACTTTTAAAAGGTGTGTGTGTATTTTTGTACGCAGGTAAGAAGTTATACATCTTTATTTTTTTAGAGCATGTAAATAAAAACTTGTTTTTTTTTTAAATGTTTAAACTTCTTTCAATGTTATTTACTTTTCGTATTCTTCTCAGCAAACACTTTCATTTGATATCCATATCATAGGAGTGCATAAAAAACAATCCACCATCTTTGGGAGTCTGTCACATTGGACTTATAACGACGTCACTTTGCTGTCTAGCTCATCAAGTCTTTTCATTTGATATCCATATGATGGGGATGCATAAAAAACAGTCCGCCATATTGGATTTACACTTTTTACCATCAGACGGCCAACTATACCACCGCGCGCGCTCGTTAGTCAAATCATATAGAGCGCGCTTCCCCGACTTCCTGTTACGCACTTCCTTGTGTGTGTCCTTTCTCACGAAATCACTCGCACAGATTGCAGGAAAGCGAGAGGAAAGATGTTACACCTCATAAGTATGAAATTACCTCGCTTTAAATAAAGTACCTGGGCGACCGAGCTTTTTTCAGGAAAAGATATAAAAAATGCTAGTTTTTTTATAAAAAGAACACCTATATATGTAGATAAACTTAAAAAACAAAACGTTATCGAAATACAAAATTTGATCGTTAGAGCTGTTTCAGAGATACACAAAATATTTTATATATATATATATATATATATATGAATTGCTCAATGAGAAATATTTACACTGCGTGTAACGAGAGCTAGACAATATATTTTTATGCTTAAATATTTATCTCCTTAAGCCATCGTCGGCGCCATCAATCAATGCCAAATGCAATATTCTGTACGTTAAAAGCCCGCACGTTCAATACTATATCGCAATTACCCGTCTCTTAGGAAATCAAATGGCAGTACATTTAAATTACTTGAAGTGTATAGAGGGGTTTCGATAGAAACATGATCGTGGCGGGCGCGTCTCGTCCGACCTTCACCTGCTACTATTTGAATATACAATATATAATTATAAATTATACTCGTTATATTAAAGTTATTTTGTAGGAATTACTCTCATACAGATCATTGCATTGCTGTAGAAGCCTGCCGAGGTAGTTATATATTTTGATGACATTTTCTAAATATTAACACAGTGCCATTTAACACAGTGCCCTCTGTGTACTAATCTTCGAGGACAAGACACGCCCATATTCACGCATACTTTAAGATATAACTATTTTTAACATGATATTAAAAATATTTTTAAGTAGGTACAGAAAGAACAGTATAGATAATATTTACAGATGTCGCAAAATGTACACAACACGTTCATGTCCTTATAGCTAATATAGCTACATTTATACACATATTCCATGTAATACATAGTGAAAGGTATTTATTTATCATAATTTTACTATTTTAACAAAATAAATTTAAAAAATATACTTTTTTAAAAGAAAAAATAACTATTTAATGTTATAAAATAATCATATAATGTTCATATATTGTATGTACATTTTTATATTTTTCTATTTTACAATAGTACCACCGCTTCGAATGCACTACACATTTTCCTTATATCGTGTGCTATATAAAAAAAAACTCTTTATGTACGCATCAAATGCGGGAATATAACTAATACTTGGAAATGACCTATATAATATATAGCACACTGTAGTCTCAATGCTGAGGAAAGTAGCTCGTCTCTTCCAACACTACAAACTTGGATATTTACATATATAACAAGTAGCAGGGAGTTCTAGTTGTACACATGTACACATGTATTTAATACAGCGTCCGTTCAGTGATATGTCTCCGCGAGGGTAGAGCAGGCCCCGGTTCGTTCTCGGTCTCGTTCTTTAACCGGTTAAAGAAAACGCACGGTTTGATAAACCTAAATAATAACAGTTACCGGTTATTCTAAGAGAAAGGTTGGATTTCGGTTTTGATACCGAAATTAACCGGTCAGTTCATAAGTAAGAAACATTCATGTATCCTTCTATTAAGCAATTCACCATTAGCAAAGAGAGTGTGAACGTACAATAACCGGTTAATTTTGATCATGGAACCTAAATCCGTCAAAAACCATCCTCTGGGATTTAACCGGTCAAAGAACATAACCGAAACCTTCAAAGGTGGAACCGGAAAGGCAATGCAGCACTCAGTGCAGCGCGCGGCGGTAGAGGCGCTCGTCCGCGCTCAGCACGCGCACGGCGAAGGCGTCCAGCGCCAGCGGCGCGCCCTGCACTATCTCCACGTTGCCCGCGTTCGCCTGCAAGCAACAATGTTGTATTTATATACATATTATCACAGAACATATAATGCTATACTAGTACAGAGTGCATTCCATACAAATGATTGACTTTGCTAATCCGCGCTCACACAGCGCGCAATTTTTTTGTTAAAATGGGTAATAGATGGCGCAAGTGAGAATTAAAATTTTGCCAGTAAGTATAAACCAATCAATGTTTTAGTTTTTCGGAAATTTTGTATAAACTTATTTATTTCTAAGTCTCGTGTAAGACATGTATTTTTGTTTCTTTTTTAGTAGCTTCAATTTAGTTTTATTTAATATTTTTATTCAATTAGTTTCACTTATTATTTTTGTAAACATACTTATTTAGCATCCGTCACTTTTGATGACAAATCAGTTCATTTGTAATAATTTAGGGTAATATAGGTCTAATTGTATTCTTACTGTTTTAGATTGTTTGTATATGACTGTTTTTACCTGAATAAATAAATAAAAAAATAAAATAAAAAAAGGTGACATCTAGCAGCTCTAACTGTAAATGTAAATGCTCTAAATGATGGATGGCGATAAAAGCTACCCCCGACTGCCGCTGCACAATGTTGTAGGTACCTCTATTGTAAAGGCCTCTCAAGGTCACTATGGCAATTATTTTTATATATTCCGTTTCATGTTTTATATATTGTATAGACTTACGTATATAAATATTATTTGTTAACGCAAAAAAAAAATGAAACGAGAAATAACGAAATTAACCTATAAAATATATCGGTATCAAAGTAAAATAAAATATTTTTTATTAAATTTATCAACTTTTTTTTACATTGAGCGCCATCTGTGAACAGAGTATACATAATTATTATCAAAGATCGTGCCATCACAACGTAGTACCTATTATTGCCGCCAGAAAACAAGAATATCATTAAATTTTATATTTTTTTAAAAATTAGTATATATTTCTACATTATTTAATTTTTCCTTACTTTAAATAATTCTTTAAAATTTGGTTAAATACTTTTTTCATTTTTTTTTTATATTTGGAATTTTAGGTGAACATTAAAAACAAATCGATACATATTACGCCATCTGGTATATAATATTTTTAACTAATTTTTACTTTGTTCCTAATGAGACCCCATGATATTATACTCTGCTATTATATTTTTCATTTATATGGAGAATCAATTGTAGTGTAGGTTTGTGATAGAGAATAATAACGTAAGTGTGGGGTTTCTAAATTATACTGGAACTGATGACGTCCTAGTCTAACGTCACGATAGCGGGAAGTCGTAAGGTCGCTTGCACATACACTATATCATTCACATAAAAAGCTAACTCAACGGTATGTTCTCGAGCCATCCAAACGTTAACTGCGCTTGACGTCTCTTAACATCTGTGGTTGGACGAGAAACGATAACGAGAAATAATAAATGATTAATTTACTTTATCTTTGGTGGTATTCCGGTTCAGTTCGACAGGACAGATTATATGCACAAATAGTAAATGACATCGCGAAATAAAAGAATCTAATAACAGATAGGACAAACCAAAAAGAGCGTCGCCAGGAAGAGCTTGCAGACGTCGGCGGGGTCGGCGGCGGCGCGCGCCAGCACGGCGGGGAAGGGCGCGTCGGGCGCGGCGGCGCGCAGCACGGCGGCGCACGCGCGCGGCACGTCGGCGCCGCGCGCCTCCGCCGCCGCGGCGCGCGCCAGCACCGCCGCGCGCCACCGCCCCCACTCCCCCTCCCCCTCCCCCTCCGGCGCGCTCCCCGGCAGGCTCCCCGGCAGGCTCTGCGGGTGCACATAAAACTTGCAATTAGAGCGGTCACACTTTTAAGGTTTTGCCGAGTCGGTTTTCGTATACGTGTGTATACGTCATTGGAAACTGTCTACGATAGTTGTTTCAATAAATCGTAACACGTGATCTATATTAAATTGCAATTTTCAATTATCATTTTCGTTTAGAAATATTAGCGTGAATAATCTTCCTTTGAGAAAGTTTCTGTGAGTTAAGGTGCCTGTGATATTAATTAAGGCTTATTCAGATAATTTCAGTTAATGATAAAAAAAATCTAAAAGCATTAACTGATCATTGAAAAATTAACCACTTATTATTTACTTATACGTTGGTAGTATGTGTATACATATATGTTTTTATGTGTGTATGTTTGTTGCTCCTTGGCTGGACGGATTTAGATGAAATTTAATAAACAGATCGACTTCGATCTGAAATAGCGGCATAGAACGAGATGGTCCAGGTCCGCGAGTACGCACCGCGAGCGCGGTGGCGGCGGGCGCGTCGTCGGCACGCGACGTGTCGGAGCCGCCCAGCGAGCTCTGCTCGAAGAACCCGTCGTCGTCGCTGTCGCCGCCCGCCGCCGCCGCCGTCGCCCTCGCCACCGCCACCACCGTGGCCGTCGCCGTCGCCGCCGTCGCCGCCTCCGCCTCCGCCCGGCTCCAGCCCGCGAACCCTGCGAGTGGCTCGTTCATGTTAGACATACATTTTAGATCTGTTATTAAAAAAAGACGTCATTTTGGTTATAATATTTACATAAATTTTATTAATTCAATATTATTTCAATCTGTTTACATATTATTATATTTTAATACTGACCTCCAATATCCCTCAAATCTGTTAAGTCGAAACCACGAAACTCTGAAAATATATAAATACAATTTTTAAATAAAATTGCCATTGGGCTAAACGTAATAAAACATACTAAAAAAAATTTCAAGTTGTCAAATAAAAAAAAGGTAAAAAAAACTAAATAATAAACTTAAAATGATAATTGGGTTAGTTAACATCGCTACTCGATCGAGATACTTCTTACGAGCTCTTAAATAGGTCTTCATCGCTCATTCGCCAACTCAATTGACCAACTATTTATTGACGATCATGATGAACATTTATCAGATTATTAACACAAATATAATTAGTGATAAGCTTAGAAGTAAATAATTAATTATGTATCATACCTTTTATACATATCGATTTATTAATTTATATGAAATATTGGTGTTGTAAAAAAATATAGTGTAGGTGTGACGCGTACCCGTGTGCCCCCGGTGGTCGCGCAGGCGGGCGCGCAGCGCGTGCAGGCGCGCGCGGCGCGCGGCCAGCACGCGGCGCCGCCAGCGCGCCGGCACGCTGAACTCCCGCACGCGCGCCAGCAGCGCGCGCGCCTCTGCGCCGCGCACGAACACACACACACGTTATATATCGAAAGAAGGCCTCCTTTCAACACGAGAGGGTACAGACCGGAGTCTACCACGCTAGCCGAATGCGGGCGGGCGGGCTTCACATGTCTTTCGAAAACTTGCTAGGTTCTCTCGGACATGCTGGTTTCCTCACGATGTTTTCCGTCACCGTAAGACGAGTGGTACTCGTGTTGAAAATTATTCGCACATGAAAATATCAGAGATATGAGACCCGGAATTTGAACCCACTTCACTCGGTTTCCCGAGTGAGCGCGTTACTACTGGGTTGGTTAGTCATAGTACGCCTTCATTACCTTCACTTCCTCCTATGATGTCATCGAATCTTGGCAATAAATTTGAATCTACTTCTATGTGGTATCGAAATAAAAGTTTGTATGTCTATATGTATTTCAGATGACAATTCTATAACTTGGTATCTTGAACCGAATACGATGATGAAACCGGGAAGGGGGCAGCGGAATACTTCAATGATTATTTAGTATTAACTTAGCGAATTTAGACTCATATAAATAGTTTCAACGAATCCTATACATTTCAAATCGTAGAAAGTGTGTTTTTAGTTTTTTCAAATTATTAAGAAGAAAGAAGTTACTTAATCTATACATATAAAAAATTAAATGTGGCACTCGGAGACTGCCGCGGTAAAGCTATTGCATAGCATTTTTTTTCAACTTATGCAATTATAATTATTTATTTATTTTATTAATGCAGTATTTTTTTTCCTTAACTTTCTTCATTAATAAATGCACTTTGTTTATTCATATTTAAAACACTTTGTACACAAATTATACGAGTACAGATATTCACTGTTGTACATAGATGATAAATACCTATACACCTATATACTTTCTTACAAACAGCTGATTACGGTAGTTTTCCAATACAACCGATGCCACCTAAAAGCGGGTTGCTGAACTAAAGAGACAAGCGTGATATTTCAAAAAGTCAATAAAAGTTCTGGTATTTATCGATAGATGGAAAAACTAAAAAGTATCACCGCTGTGCCGGTCGGAGTGGGGGGTGTCAGGTTTTTTTCGTTACGGAATTTCTGGATTCGATCCCCACGCTCAAGGCCCGCGATAGAAGCTATGCAATGCAAATGCTTAATAAAATTCTAACTGAGCCGAACCTGTACATTAAATATTTTTTGGAAAATATTATAGAAATAGACATTATTATCGACACAGAGGCCGAATCTATAGTTTTTAGAATTTTTGTCTGTCTGTCTGATACCACATCACAGAAAAACCACTGGAGGGATTTTGATGAAATTTGGTATTGTGATAGCTGCTTATCCGGGTCAACATATAGGGCACTTTTTACCGCGGGAAAATACCTCATTTCTGAAAAAAAATACAAAAACTGCATTGTAAGAGTATACTAATATTTAAAACCTAAGACTTTGGTTTTTGGTCATCTGAACGCGGGCCGAGCCGCGGGCAATGCTAGTCTGTATGATATAATATGTTCACTTGCTTACTTTTACTTATGTGGAGCTTAATCGTGCACTCCGATATATCTTCTACTTTCGAGATCAAGTCGCTCCGACGCTTCCTCTCCTTCTTCTCCGCGGCGGGGGCAGGCGCGGGAGAGGGCGCGGGGGAGGGCGCGAGGGAGGCCACGGGGGCGAGGCAGGGGGAAGGCGCGGGGGTGGGCGAGGGCGCGGGGGAGGGCGAGGGCGGCGCGGGCGCGAGCGGCGTGGAGGCGCGCGGCGGCGGCGAGGGCGGCGCGGCGGCGGCGATGGCGGCCTGCAGCTCGGTGAGCGGCAGCGCGTGCGGCGTGGCGCCGCCGCCGCAGCCCTCCGCCAACTCCTCCACTAGCTGACCTTCCTGTTCGAAAAAATATTCATTATTTAGTTTACGGGTACTTGCTTGAAATGAAATATTTTATTTATTTAAAATATGTGTTACACCTAACTTTTGATATCAATCGAAATCATTACATTATATTAAAGTCCTTCGTCGCGCTGAATTTGTTTGCTCAAGTTAATTTAAAAAAATATTGTACGGATTTTATACAATTTTCACTAATAAAGAGGGATTATCTATAAAGGTTATATATTATAGTTTCTAAGCATATTACCATAAGCTATTGGTATGAGTATAAGTAGTGAGTTAAGTCGTAATGAATAATAATTATCCATCATAAACTTACGTATTACATATTTCCGAAGAGCATCTAGGGTACTAATTAGTAAAGTATAAAATTTGATCAAACTAGATCCAAAACGAATGGAGACGGTGACTCACGTGCAGGCGCCAGGTGACGTGGAAGTCGGCGAGCAGGCCGACGGGCTCGCCGGCGTAGTCCAGCAGCGGGAAGTCCCGGTCGCTGAGCACGCGCGGCTCCAGCTCCACGTACATGCGCGGCAGCGTGGGCGGCGGCCGCGGGGGCGCCGCCTCGCGCCGCGCCGCCGGGCACGCCTCCAGCTCCACCAACGCGAACTCGCTGTGCGCCGACGCCTTGCGCTTGCGCCGCGCGCTCGACGGCGTCTGCGGCTCTGATGAGTTGCTGGGACCCTCTCTACGAATGGTTACGATTCTATACTACATATATTGTATAATATGTGGAACTAATATAATTCCGACGTAACTAGCTAACCGTAATGACAGTCAGTCTGCACGAGGTTTTCAGAACAGTCCGAGAAGTGTTTCTCCCGAGGTATTTATATATTTCAGTGAAACATTATGCTCCAATATAAGAATTGACACTAGTGGATAATATTTTATTGAAAAAAGTTTTTTCATATTAATCTATACTATACTAACACTGTAGAGGTCGAATTTCTATACATAGAAAAATAAAAATGCTAAAACCAAGTCAGGGGGATGTAAGAAAATAGAACAAATCCAGACTTTTTTTAATTTTTTATTTCTCTGTTTGTAGGAGGCTAATCTCCGAAACTGTTGGACCGATTTAAATAAAATTTTGCAAGGTAGGTACCTTATATCCCCGGTCAACAGCTTAGATACTTTTCATCCCGGAAAATTAAAGAGTTTCCGTGGGATAGTTAAAAAACTATAGTAACTTATACAACTTAGTACATAAAAACTACTGATTGGATTTGAATGAAACTTTATAATAATATAATTCATACATCAGAATAACGAATAGGCTACTTTTTATCCCGGAAAAGTTGTGCTAAATTAACCAAAAGATAAAAAAAAATCCCAAAAAGATTTATTGTTATTTTAAGAAATATTTTAAGTGAAATGAAAGGAAGTAATGCGTAAAATTTGCTTAATTTTACTCATTATTGAAATATCAGCAATCAAATGGTGAATTTGTAGTGATATTTACAGATGGCGCTTTTTATGAAATTGTTAAAATCACAGAAATTTTTGAAATCATACTTTTTTTGGCACGTTTGGAAAAAAATATGAGATGATGATGATGATGCGCGCGCATACCGATAGCCAAAAAGCGACATGATGAAGTTAGCTGCATCCCTTTTACAAACATAGTTGTGACTTGTGACATACGGGATGACATCTTAAGCTATTTTTATTCTGTTACGCCAAAGAAGTATAACTTCTTACGTGCATACATAAAGTACACACACACGTTTTTTTTATTCGAATGCAGGATGAATTTTACAATATTAACCATACTTTTTGCACTATTTTTTTAACTATTTGCAAATAACGACGTCTGTTGTCTATTGAAACAAATATAAATAATCTGAATTAGCGCTACCCAATATCTTTGTATTATGCGATTTGTACTGATACTAAAGGGGAGCCTACGTATAATTTTTGTTGCCATGAACTATTCCTACTGGTTATATCGAGAGCTAGCATGTGGCCGCGACTCCGCCTGTATATTTTATTTATTGATCTATTGAAATTTCCAAAATCGAATGTATTTTAGCCGATTCTTACACCCTGTATGTCCTCATATCATGCCCAACTTCTTATTCTCAGATGTATCTACTGATTAAAAAATTGATGAGGAGTGGTTGTCCTTTTTAACCAGAAATCTTATTTTCACTTTTAGCCATTGAAATTAAATAAGGAATTTATGTATAAAAAACTACCAATCCCTTTTCTATCCCTTTAGGGGCTTTAGGGGCTAAACCTCCCAAAATCCTTTCTTAGCGGATCCCGACTCCATATGACGAATCAATCTGCCAAATTTCAGTTCTGTAGCATTTGTAATTTCTGAAATTTCATTGTTAAACCATAAATAGGGAATAATTTCACTTTTCTATACTAATATACAATATATTTATACTCTCGTTCGGGCGAAGGCTAGCGTCACCTACTTGCCAATTTATTCGGTCACGATAGAGTAACCTTGCAGCCGGCTTCGACACGCGGAAACTTACTCGACTGATAAAGCCTGCATTCATTAAAGTTCGTGTTCATTGGCGAATTCGTTATTATCTATCACATTTATTTCGTTTTCGCGTGTACAGCGTTTGTAGTTCCTTTTTTTTTAATTATTGTTATTATATGTATGTTAATATCAACTTTCATTCGGATGAAATTTGGTAAGAAGATAGTTTGAGACTCTGGAAAGGACGTAGGATATTTTTTATACCGGAAATAACCCCTTAAGGGGTTGAAAATGGGGATGAATGTTTGTATTGGGAAGCAAGGCAGGGACGGACCCGAGCGAAGCGAGAGTGAGTCGCTAGTATATTATACAACAACTGAATTGGGAAGTCTTGGAAGATGGATGTGAATCTTTACCTCATATTTAGTTAAAATCATGTACTAAATAATAAGCGAAAAAGTCGTCGGTTGCTGTTCACTCCTATTTACATTACAGAGACTTGACCCTTCTGCACTTTGTCTCATACAATACATTCATTTACATAATACTAACTATCTGTATGTTAAGACATATTCTTTCTTAATACTTTACATGTCAATGGTATGTTTAAAGTATGTATGTAGTTATGTACTTAGTTAGGAAACTGATGGCTAAATAATCGAAGTATTAAATGTTTATTAAAATCATTGTATATTTCATTAATGTGCAGGCTGCATTTAAATCTGTCTGTAACTGCACTTGCATGCGTAAATGCTTAAACAATTGTGGCGTTACAGTTAGGTGACAAGTGGAGTCAGAGACAAAGTTTAGTGTTATTCAATCTCTTAAAGCAATTTATAGTTAACTAGCATTGCCCGCGGCTCAGCCCGCGTTTAGATGACCAAAAACCAAATTCTTAGGTTTTACATAATATTAGTATACACTTACATTGCAGTTTTTGTATTTTTTCTCAGAAATGAGACATTTTACCCGCGGTAAAAAGTAGCCTATATGGTGACCCGGTTAACCAGCTATCACCATACCAAATTTCATAAAAATCCCTCCAGTGGTTTTTCTGTGCTGCGGTAACAGACAAACAGACAGACAAAAATTCTAAAAACTATAGATTCGGCCTATGTATATATAATAATGTTTCTTTCAATAAGATATTCCAAAAAATATTTATTGTACAGATTCGGCTTAGTTACAATATGTATAGAAGAAAAACAGCAATCCTTCTAGATTTTTCACAGGAAAATGGATATTATCTAGTTTGAAACGCATGTTTAATGTCTAATATACAAATATTTTAATGTGGAAGTGATTGTTTTGCCTGTGTGAATGTGCTAATCTCTGGAACTTCCCGACTTTCCCTTGCCTTACTCAGGTGTGTCTCCATATGTTTGGGTTGGTTAGTTTGTCATAGTTCTATCAATGTACACATGGCACACAGGATGTATGGGAAATTAGTTTTTACTAGAATGGATTCCGATGCAATTCTGCTGATTGTGATGAAACCTTAGACATCTTTGTGGACCTGCTAAAGTTTATTGCACCATGCTACTAATGTACAACAGGTGGCACGCGAATTCCGAACAACAAGTCTGAACTCTGAATACAACTAGTAACTTGTTAAGTTAGTTGTTGTTAATGTTAGATTTCAATTGGTGATTTTATAAATAAATTTGTGGATTACAAAGACTTATTCTCACAATAAATAATGATTGATGGCACTAATAACAGAGTTTGCACTTTAAAAAGCAGGACAATATCTGCGGCATTTTGTTCCATGATAAAAATATGAAGTTTAAAGAATAAATTAAAATAAATTTTTAACTTTTTGCTATATTCTTTGTGAAAATATCACTCTAGATGAATGTATAAGGTATATGAAAGGTTTGGTGTCAATAACAGTCAATACCAACAATATAACATAACAAAACATTGTCTTGTGCTTTATATATGTAGAAAAATACTTTTCAATCTTGTAACACTACTTTCCAATTATTATCATCAATAAAAATTATGTAAAGACAGTGATTAGATTAAAACAAAGTGACATCATTGATATTTCTCTAATAAGAATTATATACAATATATATATATAACAAATAGTAGCTAAAACATTTTCCTACCATTTATACCCATTACCTAATATATCAGAAACAGTAAATATATAAAAATAGATAAATATACAACTCACTGTGTACTATTGTGCAATGAGTCGCTAACACTAAGCACATGCTGGTACAGGAAGTCCACCTTCCTGCTGTAGATGCTGGCGGACTGCTGCAGTAAGAGGGCCAGCTCGGTGAAGTTGGGGATTGCTGTGTTGATCTCTTCCTCCTCCGCATCCAGAGCATGGAGACCCGCCTCCGTCAGGTACTCCTCCAACAACTGGCACAATTGTTAATTTATAAATACAAAGATTCTTAACTCTAAAAACATTTATCAAAACAAAATAAACCTGTAGAATTAATTTATATTCATAAGAGTATCTCCAATGTTATAATATTTTTGCACTAAATAGAAAAGTAAGAATCAGGTGTTTTTAAAGAAGTTCTATGTTTTCCAAAACAAGTGTAGTTTATAAAACAGAATAAGATATAATAATGACTGAATACAAGTGTCAACTAGTCTTACATAATATAATCATTGTATGCAATATCTAATAAGAAACAAATCATTTTTTGGTTCTGTAGAATCAACATTCAGAAAAATGCATTAGGAGTTTGACATTTAATTGTAGACTATCTTTTCATTTTTGGTATAATGCATGTGGAGTAACAAATATAAAGCATCCTAAAGCGTGGATAATGTAAGCAAGCAGATTTTGAATTTAAATAAGACAGTAAATGTTAAAAGTAGTGATATCTTATTAAGTAATGACAACAAATTTAGTATTATTGTATATCTTAGTCCTTGCTGTCAAACAAGTAAAAGTGGCGGGACGACTTTTAGCCGGGACTCACCGCGCTGAGGTCCGTGTCGAAGCTGCGGCGGACATCGCTGATGGGCTTCATCAGCTCTGCCACAATTGCCTCTAATCTTTGTGAATTCATGCTCCACCGTTTCTCTCGCTCGGATATATTTCTGAAAACAATGTGTTTCCATTGATAACATCACTGAGAAGCGACGCGGGCTCAACACAAGCACTAACTTATATAGCACTGGCGCGAAACTTTATGTCACTTGCGCTATTTTGATTTGCAAAAAGAGATTGCGAAATTCTACCTATATATGACTCTGTTAAAAATTTGGTCGTGTAAGATATACCTTCTCCTTTCCCTGAAGTCGGCATCCATCTTACAAACATACAATTGTGCGATTAGGAAAAACGTAATAAGAACGGTGGCCATTTATTTATGTTTTCACGGGAGACAATCCATAATATCCATGTTCGCTGTCAAAATCTTGTTCGCGTTCGCGGTGCCTGCTTCATTATCTGTAAGCACAAGCGTTTGCTTCGGAAGCTTTGTCTATGGAGCACATAGAGTATAGACTATAGAGTAAAAGTATTTAGGTATATTATAGGTATTGAAATGTAGGAATTATGTGATTTGCAACAATTTTTGTGACGATTATCTTTATTGTTTAAAACCATTAAATATAATTACTAAATGCAAATTGATGAAAACGTAAGTTTCGTTCATTTCATAGAGTTGGAAAATATTCGTAATCTGCAATACAAATAAAAGTAAAAATGTCAAATTTGTCAATTGTCATCCATGTATTGGGAGGAGTGTTTACAAAATAAATATAAACGATTTATTCTTCATTTCGTGATATTTGAGAGACTTACTAGAAATACACAGTTCGTGTAAATTGAATTTATTGATATTAATATAAATTTCAAGTCTGTTTAATTCATAGTTTATAATGGGCATGTCTAAATGCTACTCGTTAATGAAATGTTTGCTGATATTTTTCAACATAATATTTCTCGTAAGTACCTATATTTTTTATATATTGAATTAATTATAACCCCGTTCCTTTCTCGCCAGAAATTATTGTTTTATACCTAAATTATAAAAGTATATTGTGTAACTACAACATTGCATAAACTAACTGAATAATCTTAATTTGTGGATATCCAAAATTCACAAAAGATTCATTGACCTAACAAGAAGCTTTATAAAATTCCCCTTAGGGATTTTAAAGTCCTTTTATTAGATGATAAAGTTATTTTTATAGATGTTTTATATAGAAACAGATTACTAATTTTATGACATAATTTATTGTAATTTTTTAAAATTAATAATATTAATAAAGTATAAGGTAAGTATACATAAATGAAATTCTCTGAATGCATAAGTAGTAGATATTGAATTTTTGTTTAGATATTGCATTGAGTTGCATAAACCAGATGCTCCAGGAAGCCCCTATTAATGTAAACAACAAGCTTTCTATTAGTAGATGCAATGAGGCAATCAGCATTCTATAAAAATATGTTAACTATGTTCTAAATTCTAAATATGTAAATAAGATCAAATTACGTTACAAATGATTGTGTTGTTTAGTGATCACATTATAAAACTTTTCTATACTACTTCCTAGTATAATTGCTTCTTTGTGTTTGTGTATATAAAACAAAATCAAAATATTTATAAGAAAAAAATATTTATTAATCTCTCATATCCTCAAGTCCATATAGATTAATAAACCATACATTTTATATTTCAGGTCGTGGGATTAGCTGCATGTGCATTTGCTGGCTGGGCATTATGGGACGGGCGCGCCTCTGAAACCGGAGCTGGTCGTGCGGGTCTTTGTGCTCTTGCGGTGTGGGCTGCTGTACTTACCTTAGGTGCTACTGCTGCTCTCGCAGGTACACCTGTTTGAAACCTTAATTATATATTTATATAAATGAAAAATATTCTATGAATTATACTACTACAATAATTAAGGTTGGATTTGCTTTTCATGTTATCCCTTAAGTGGATTGACCTAATTATATAATCAACTAAGCTGGGCTATAAGAGAAATACACATTATTTCTTGTAACTAAAGAAAGAAACTAATTATTATTGATGAAAGACATCAGAAAGATCTTAATTTATGATAACTACCAATAGTAGTTTAAGCATATGTACTTATTTATGAAATATCAAAATTCATGGATATGTTTTAGACATTTTTCACATTTATTCATAAGTTATCTTTTATTTGGTGAAATCTTGTCTATAAAATATCAGTGTGGGTTGTAAACAATGTGACCTTATTGTCTATATTACCTTTACATGTAGCTTTAGATTGACCTATTAAATGGATTTGATGTCATCGTTGTTCTGAAATGTTGAAAGTGTGTCAGGTTACAGTAATCACATTACACTACTACTGTGCCGCATGCTTCTTTAGTTACTGTTGGTTTGATTCACGCCAAAAATAAATGTTTATATTAACATAATAAATAATAAGTGTGTTATTTCGATAAGTTCATACTTGATACATACTATGTTTTATATTCAAATGCCATAATCACAACTGAATTGGGAAAAAGACTGACCATATTTAGACGCGGTAAAGTGCATGCAATAAGTCTTGGAGTGAGAAAAGTACAGTGTTTTAAATAGTGTAGATGCCTCTAGTGGCATATTTTATTGAATTTATTAATAAAGATCTTTCTATCAATAGATAAGTAAAAGATAGAGCAGCATAGCGAGCATAATTATTAAAGTAACGTGTGATGTGTCAGGCGCGGTGCGCGGGTCGGCGTCGCTGCTGGCGGCGGCCTTCGCGCTGCTCGCGCTCAGCGCCGTGGCCGAGGCGGCCGCGGCCTGGTGGGGCGCCGCGCACGCGCCGCAGCTAGAACAGGTACACTACACTACGCAGTACGCACTGCACTACGGTACGCATTTTAATCCCATAAAAAACAAATGTGAAAATGGGAGTCAAGTTTAATATTAAGAATAAGTGTGGTTGTCAACTTCACCGACAAAAGAATTGAGATCTAAATGTGCCAAGTTCTGTAACATTCTAAAATAAATTGAAAACATAATTTCTTGTACTTTTCAAGATTTGATTTGGCTAGTTTTTACCAGTAAAGCAAGTTTTTAGAAGAGTGAGACATGTTGACCTTACAATATAAAAACAGTAACTTGCGTATAGCATAAAGAAGATATAAATGACTAGCTGTAAAGATAACTTGTATGTAAAAACTAGCCAAGTCAAATCTTGACTTGACTTCAATTTATGAATTGAATGGAATGGATGTCATAGTGCATACCATTTGTCTATGAGATTATGGTTATGTAGGTACATGATACTTTTTATTAAATAAAACGACTTTTATGGCTTATGTAAGTCAATTATCGTGTCTTTTAATTGGACTACTACTATAAATGCGAAAGTTGGTTTGGTTTGTCTGTGTGTATGTTTGTTATTTTTTCACGTTGAAACGGCTGGACTAGTGGCTGAGTGGTTTTAAATATTTTTACATCATGATGTACTCAATGGGTGCGACGGATAGGATGAAAATAGGCAAAGTGTCACTTGGCTTGCTATTTAAATATCTGTCATCATTTTCTATATTTGTTTTTTTTTTGTATAAACGGATCCGTGACGGTGGTACGCGTGAATGGGGTTTTGTTATGTGACAGCATCTTAACATGTAAAGGAGGAATGATGGTGACAATAAGCAGATTATAACCGGAGTGTGTGGTGGGTTGGTCGCAACTTGCAGGCGCTGCGCGAGCGGCTGCGCTACACCGTGCTGCACGAGTACGGCGTGGTGCCGGCGCGCACGCACATGCTCGACGCCATACAGCACGGGGTGAGCACGACGCCGCGCCGCCCTAAGAGGGTCGACACCCGGGGCTCGGGGATTTGTTATTACAATTACACTTATTAAAATTTATAGAAAATTAATATTTTACATGGATAAAATTGGACTCATTGTCTGTATGTTTGAATCAAAGAGATGAAATTATAGTTAATGTATATTGTATATATATATATATATATATATATATATATATATATATATATATATATATATATATATATATATTACATATTTGATGTATTAAATAAAATGTTTATTTTAGGAAATATTAATTAAGTAGATGATTAACTATAATTGTATAATGTACGTGGAATATTTACTGTAGTATGAATGTATATCCACTTCCACGTGTCCCTCAGCTGGAGTGCTGCGGCGCGGAGAGCGCGCGCGACTGGCAGCAGGCGGCGTGGGCGCGCGGCGGCGGCGACGGCGGCGCGCTCGACCTCAGCGTGCGCGCGCCGCCGCAGCACTACTGGGTGCCGGCGTCGTGCTGCGTGGCGGCGGCGGGGGAGGGGGAGGGGTGCGAGGCGGCGCGGCGCGTGGCGGCGGGCGCGGGCGGCGGCGCGGGGCTGCACGCGGCGGGCTGCGGGCGGCGCGCGCTGGCGGCGCTGCGCGCGGGCGCGCGCGGGCCGCTGGCGGCGGCGGGCGCGCTGCTGGCGGCGCACGCGGCCGCGCTGCTGCTGGCGCTGGCGCTGTGCCTGCGCGCGCGCCCGCACCACGGGTACAAGGCCTAGCTCGCCGCACGTGCGTATCTCCCACGCTACGTACACATGTCACGTCGAAAATGTATATTTGTTTCAAGTTATAATTATTTTTCCACAGAGATCGTCTCGCCCGGTCGGCCGTGTTCGAGAAATGCATCCGCGAGCATGCGAGCTACTCGCGAGTTGCGACCGCATTGAGGCTGATGAGCAATATTTCCACATAATTCATACAGTTTAACGTTTTTATATGTTTACAATCTCTGTATTGGAACTGCGCGTAAAAGTTTGACTGTAATCATACTCGTAACTGTAAGTGATATATCGGGCTCGAAGGACCAATAACATAAAATGATTTAAATAAATTTATTAAATATAATACCTATCAATTATGATTATTCGATTTATAAATGTTTGTTTAGAATAATCCGTTGTGATTGTAGCGACTTTTACGCGTAATGTTTCATTAATTAAGAATTATTATATAGATTGATAATCGGAACACGTAATGGAAAAATAGTGCATATAGATACCAGCTAGAGCTTATCACTAGATGGATCGTTGTCTCATAGGATTGTATTGTGACGCACAGACGCACAGACAGTCCGCACCGAACTTGCGAAAGTTACCTGAGAACATGAAAAGGCTCTGTAAATTAGTAATTAATATAAACCATACTTAAAAAAAATAGAACAAAGGTTAATATGAAATGTCAATGCTTTGCAGCTATTTGATCTGAAAATTATTTGTACACTATGATATTTAGGTGTATTTTATGGTGTTTACATTTATGCGAACTTAATGAATCTGTTTGTAGTATTAGTTCATAGTATTTTGCTAGTTTTAAACTTATTCCCAATGGAATATTAGCTTATTTTTATCCTTCGCGTATACAATGTGGCTGAAGTTTTTAATCACAAAAAGCAAAGCATCGATGTTAATGTATTGATGCGACCATTACCTCCACTCTAGTCACTCCCACTCTCTCTCCCTCTCTCTCTCTCTCTCTCTCTCTCTCTCTCTATACTCTACAATATTCGTACATGAATCTTTACATTTACTACTTAATTGTTGCATTTATGTTGATCGTTCCTATTTTATACAATATATTATTTACACTAAGACTGAAAAACATTTATAAAAGACGTACCTACGAAGCTCTCGCGCTGACCGTACATTGTAAAATATACACGAAACTATTTCAAACCAAAGGACAGTCATATTCGGAGACTTTTTATACTTAATTTACATTTTTTATACCTTTTACATTTTATGTTTTACATTTCTATTAATTTAAGTATTTACTTTTTATATGAAATCTGTATATTGAAGAATGATTCATACAACAGTAAGATTAAAAAATAAAGCTTGCTAAATGTGCCATTGTGTACATATGTATGTACATGTGTAGCAGCTCTTATATTTTCTCTTGCCGAGACCTTACAAAATGTGTACAATGAAGGAATTTACAAGTGCCCTATATATACGTATAAGTACATAATAATATGTAAGTAACGAGTATTAGACCAGAGTCGATAATTTTTGAAACCAAAAAAAATAATAGTAGAATGCAACCCATTAGAAAAGAAGGGGAATATTATAAAAATGAAAGGAAAAATAATTTACGGGCGATCTGAGGTCGGGAAGGGGGTGGGGGGGAGCTTTTAAGGGTAAAAAATGGTTTTTCTCGATTTCCGGCAAAACTAAAAGTCCTATCGATAAAAATTAAATGGCAAAGTTGTAGGTAATAAAAAGATCTAAAACTTTTGTATTTACACTTTTTTCACATAACCTCAAAATTTATGTGAAAAATTCAAAAAACCAAGTTTTTGGTTTTTTATTTTTATCTTTTACAAAAATGTTTTTGTTTTAACGAAATTTGGTGAAAACTTACTTTTTTATGTCCGAAATACGCTGTAATTTATTTGATTAAAAATATTTATTTTTTCACCTTATTTTGAATTAATATCGAAAAAGCACCCTAATTTTCAATCGAAAATTCACCCGTCAAAATATCAGCTTTTTTCAAAAAGTTGGTGTGTTTTCTGTTCGGTGAAATCTCTACTTTCCGATGGTGAAAAAAAAATATATGTTACTGTAGAGATTTCAACGAACAGAAAACACACCAACTTTTTGAAAAAAGCTGATATTTTGACGGGTGAATTTTCGATTGAAAATTAGGGTGCTTTTTCGATATTAATTCAAAATAAGGTGAAAAAAATAAATATTTTTAATCAAATAAATTACAGCGTATTTCGGACATAAAAAAGTAAGTTTTCACCAAATTTCGTTAAAACAAAAACATTTTTGTAAAAGATAAAAATAAAAAACCAAAAACTTGGTTTTTTGAATTTTTCACATAAATTTTGAGGTTATGTGAAAAAAGTGTAAATACAAAAGTTTTAGATCTTTTTATTACCTACAACTTTGCCATTTAATTTTTATCTATAGGACTTTTAGTTTTGCCGGAAATCGAGAAAAACCATTTTTTACCCTTAAAAGCTCCCCCCCACCCCCTTCCCGACCTCAGATCGCCCGTAAATTATTTTTCCTTTCATTTTTATAATATTCCTCTCATTTTCTAATGGGTTGCATCCTACTATAATTTTTTTTCACTTTTTATTATTTTTAAAGGCTTCTACCCTGGTCTATATGTACGTATTTATTTGGTGTAAACATGACAGTCGATATTATTAGTGTTAAGTAGAAGTAAGCGATAACCAAATGGTGTGTAGTTAGTTAAGTGTGTTGTTGTCTCATAGGTTTATCTGTCGTAGGAGCGGGACGCTCGCGCGGCCCTTAGCTGTAGTTTACTCTGTTACCTGCCGTACCTACTCTCACTGCCGCGGACTTTACAATTTTATTTATATTTCACGTGCATCAAACGCGACGATATTTGAGTGTTGCCCTTTTTCCTTGATCTTAAGACAATAAAAATTAAGTGCTTATGTATAATTTCCCGTTTCTTTTCGTAGCGGCGTATTCAAGTGTCGTTATTGTTTGTGTTCGAGTACAAATTTTGAAGACTTGCGTTATTCGCCGCAATAACTTATTTATGAAGTTACGTTTATTAAGTTTTACGTATGTTTTGAGCTATTAAGGTATGATTAGTGCGCGCGCGCCGGCCCCCTTCCTCGTGGCTCCGTCGGCACTTCCGAACTAAGTTTTTGTAATTCGAACTTAATTATTTTTTTATATTATTTTATTGATAACACTTATCCCCGTCAATAGCTACTAAACAAAAAAAAAAAGAAAATTGGCTGACAAACAGAGAAAAAAAAAAGCCTATTTATATATAAATGTAATAGATAATTCAACCCATCTTAACGTCCGAACGCTGGGCTCGGAGCTCTACTCAGAATGCTTTCCTTTTAATTACATTGAAAGTGATTCGAAGCACTCAGAGTTACAAGACCCGGGATTTAAACCCATTTCACTATATTTTTCAAGCGACCGCATTATCATTGCGCTGCTACTGTGGGTGCGTCTAATAAATATATTAAAAAATATGGAGACGACTTGTGGTCAACACAGCGCTTTACGTATCATTTACGTACGTACTGTGTCAGTGTCCCAACTCCCAGACATTATTTACTGAACCAAATGATTTTAGACCGTTGGCTCGAATTAGTTATACATAAATATAGCTGGCCTTAAACTGATACAAGCGACCGGATGTAATTTAAAGTGCTTCGTAAATAATAATAAGTACCATAGCCACTGAGCGTCGCTCGGAGTTTTTGGCCAAAAAAACGAACGCAGACACCTGTGGTTGTCAAACTTGCGCCTTGGCAGCTTGACCACAATGTTTAAGCGTGCGAGTTAGCGACCATATTTTGCGTGGAATAATGCGAAACAAAACCGTATGAAAACACGCGTTTTCCCAGACATAAAACTAATCTAGATCGATTTATCGCCCCCGAAACTAAATATACTAAATTTCATATACTAAATTTCATGAAAATCGTTGGAGCCGTTTCCGAGATTCAGATTATATATAAATACAAGAATTGCTCGTTTAAAGGTATCGGAACCCTATTTTTTTTAAGAAACTAATATTTAAACGTTGTATGAAGTCGCGTGCAGGAGCCAGGAGCCGGCGCGCCGGTAGACGTAAGTTGGTGTGCTTTGTATTCTATTCAAATATTATTAATTATAATTAATTAAGTATATGTTTAACGAGCGCGCGGGAGCCGAGGGCGCTCGGCGCAGGAGCCTGCACAACAAGGTGTCAAGTTTATTTTAGGGTCTTTGCATACTGCGTTTCATAAAAGCGCCGACGGTGCGTGGATCGTGAATGCGCGTATGTGCGTATTCTGCGATCAATATATAAACGCGTGTCGTAGGCCCTTAAGTTTGTTGTGCTATTTTAGATGTGACGTTGAAATTTAACCTCGAGTACAGCACGGCTCGAGTACACAATGAAAAGGGTCGGTACGAAGTTTTAAATTCCTTTTGTCTGAACGTTGCTCGCCGAGCGCCGCCGCGCCGCGCGCCGCGAGGTGCCATCTTGTGTAGGTACTATGTAGCTTTACCCCAGTCTGTCACAAATTATTTTGAACACTAATAAATGTACTAACTAATTGTGTTTTTTATTTAACATAAGAGTGACACCTAACTAATATATTATAATAATTTTTCAATTTCACTCTGATTATATCTTGGCCCAAGACAATGATTTGTTGACACACAAAATTACGTAATTGCCAATTATCGAAAATAATCAATAGATGATTTCGTATTTTAATTAATAAAAGTGGTAATATTCATAAATAATGTAAAATGTTTAGTTACTAAATAGGCACTAATACACTAGGCAGGAATAGAATTTAGGTAGGTTAGGTTACCTAGGACCCATGGACAACGATAAAATAGAAAAAACTCATGAGTATGTACATCTCGCGGCAAGGATGAAACGTGTATGTATGTCTCCGACTGCATAATACTATATACCTTCGTCAACTTGTTTTCATCTTTTTAGCTAGTTTTTATGCAGTCGGGTTTTTTATCTAAATATATAATAAAATTCT